GTGTAAAGTGCAACTATGTTTACCTTTCCGCAATGCAATAGGAAGGTCAAGATCAAAAGGCGATTTGGGTGTGGGAGGAGCTGGATTTGTAGACGGAGTAGAAGCTGGTGGAGGTGTTGGTATCTGTCGGTGAGTATACACTTGACAGATTGGTGGTCTTTCAATATGTTCCTACATTGGGGAAGGTGGATACTCAATCACAATGGGAACAACAATAAGGGAATTATCAACTGGAAGAAGAAGAGGAACCTCTTTGGGAGAAGGAGGGATATCAGGACCTGAGAAGTATGACACAGATTCAAAGAATGTAACATCAGGACAAATAAAGGATTTCTGAGTAATAGGATTGTAGCATTTATACCCTTTATGGGTCCTAGAGTAGCCAAGGAAGATACACTTAATGGAACGGGCATCCAACTTGTCTAGACCAGGACCAAGATTTTGAACAGAGTACACACACCTGAAGTTCCTAGGAGTCAAGGGATATGGAGATAAAGTGGGGAATAAGATAAATAACAGAGAATGACAATCAAGAATGAATGAGGGAATGTGATTAATGAGAAAACAAGCAGTTTGTACTGCATCACTCCAGAAACGTTTAGAAACATTCATATGATGAAAAAGAGACCAAGCTGTTTCAAGTAGATGTAGGTTCTTCCTCTCAGCCACCCCATTTTGTTGAGGGGTGTGGGCACAGAATGTCTGATGAATAATGGAAAATGGAAAATAACTCGCTTCTTTCTTTCATTAAATAAAGCCATGTCATTCTTGAGCAGTCATCAACAAAACATAACAAAATATTTGTAACCATAATAAGACTCAATTCTAATTGGACCCCAAACATCTGAATGAACCAAATCAAAAGGACTCAACATACGACTATCAATTCTAGGACTGAAGGAAACCCAATAGTGTTTCCCATACTGACACGATGCACACTGCAAAGAAGACAGACGATTTAATGATGGAACAAGGAGCTTGAGATCTTTAAGAGATGGATGGCCGAGTCTACAATGCCATTGAAGAGGAGTCAAAGAGGTTTTGAAGTGCAACTGTAGAACCACCACCGTCAAGGTAATACAATCCGCTAGCTTCATGTCCTCCACCAATCTTCTTCCTCGTCGTTAGATCCTGAGAAACACAAAAGAAAGGGTAAAATGTGATAGAACAATTGAGGGATTTGGTTAGTTTACTAACGGACATAAGATTAAAAGAAAACTTGGGGACATATAAAACAGAAGACAAAGAAAGAGATGTTGTGTTAACATTACCAACACCGTAAATGGGGGAAGTAGATCCATTAGCAAGGGTAACATTATGTGATGTGGAGGTTGGAGAAAGGGAGGAAAACACACCTGGAGTCCTGGTCATGTGATCAGAGGCTCCAAAGTCAATTATCCAAGGTGAAGGTTTGGATGCTAGGCAAGCCATACCTGAATGAGCAAGGGTGGCAATATTCTAATGTGAAGTGGCCTGAAGGAATCAGTGTTTTAAAAAGCATGGGAGGCGAGGTGCTCCCAAAACGCCCTGAGGCGTATACCAGAGGCGTTGACACCTCTAAGGCGTACACCTTAGGTATAGGAGGTATACCTGAGGTGTACGCCTCATGCGCCTTATGTACTTCTTATATAAAAAGAAATGAAAAAATGAAAAAAGAAAAAAAGGAAAGGAAAGGAAAAGAAAGGAAAAGAAAGGAAAGGGAAGGAAAAAGAAAGAGAAGATAAAGAGAGAGGGAAAGAAAAGAAAAGGAAAGGGAAGGGAAGGGAAGAAAAGATAAGGGGAAAGAAAGTGGTTTTCCCCCTGCCTCTTAGGCTGGGGGCTTCACCCCCTAGACCCCCGCCCCCTTTTTGATGTAGCCCAATTTGTTTTTTTGAGTTAGGGTCTTTCTCCGCTCCGACAAGCTCACTTGCCTCCACTTGGACAAGACCCCCCTATCAACTTATGTTACGCATCTTTATTCTTCTTAATATAAAAGATTTTTATTAAAACTAAAGAAAAAATGAGATCCCCTCCTCTTAAGGAGGCTTATGCCTCCTTGTGTCCAGGAAGCTTACGCCTCTTGCGTTCTGAACTACGCCTCACGCCTCTAGGTAGTGGAACGCCTCGCGTCACACCTCCGCGTTTTAAAACATTGGAAGGAATCTCTCATACTCCTCTCTTGGAATACTCATCATCTCCTTCCCAGAAGTAGTTGTGACTGTAGAAGATGTTGGATCAACTGATTGAGTATCACTGACTTCACTTGTGAAAGAAGACCAGTCAAACAGAGATAGAAAAGAGAGAAAAGAGATAAGAAGAAGAAGAAGACTAAAGGTCTCACCCAGTCGACCATCTATTTATATTTATCAAAACAGTGTACAAAGTCAAAAATGCCCCTACATATTTATGGGACATATAATTAACATATTAATTAAATGGAAAAGACTAGAATACCACTCTTTAGTCGACTCTAACAGTGACTTTACCTTTCAAGTTCAGCTAGAACTAATTCAAGAATTACAACCTAAAATAGCATAAGTTCCACCAACGTCAACAATGGAAGGAATCCTAGAGTTTGTTGAAGAACCAAGGATAGCATAACACATAGAGATAGTGATTCCTAACCTAGAGGTCAAAGGAAAGGTTCTAAATGTTGCAGTTAAGAGTTTGGATAAGCGAGGGGAAGATTCATCACACTGGTTGGTTGATGAATTAAATGTTCAAAAAACTAATGTTATTGATGACTTAACAAAGATGGTTAGGGAAGGCAGTATTTCAGAAATACGTCTCTTTCGAGATCCTTCTGTAGTTTTGTGTGTGGCCTCTACTCTACAGTCCAAGCATGTAGTTGTGGGAAGTCCTACTCCTTTTTTCATTGGGGCATATCAACTTTTCATCCTCAAGTTCTTCAAAAATCGAGGACAAGTTTTTTTCAACCAGGGGAGAATGATGTAGGAGCTGAAGAGTCAAAATTGGAATTTTATGATATTTTATGTATTTCTATATTTTTAGACAGTAGGGGTATTTTTGTCATTTTTGCAATTTTTGTGGGGTCCAATGATAGGGATTAAATTTTCTAGTTATAGTTTGTTTATGTTTAAAATTTCAGTGTCACTTCATAAGTAGGATTAGAGTTATTAAGTCTTCTTTGAATTGAAATAGGATATGACAGGTTAGTTTAAGTCCTACTAGGATTATTAAGTCTAACAGTTTGACTCCTAAGACTGTTATGAGTCTAACAGTTTGACTCCTAGGATTATTATAACTTTAGATTTTATAAATATGTATGGACGTTTTACACAAAGGCAATGAAATATATTGAGTTTTCTTCAGCTTATGATGAGTGATTCTAGGCACCCTGTGAGTGATTCCAGGTATTTTCTCTCTTCTTTCTCTCCCTATTTTCTCTCTTATTCTTTCAAGAAGCCATTACAACCATCAACAACCAAACTCTGATCAAGAAGACCATTCAACATTCTCTAAGGACTAGAATCGAGCTGGTCCTGCATCACATAGCCTGGGTCCCGGAGTATGATATTGTGAGGTAGAATGTTTTAGCAAAGTATGAGGTGACCTTGTATCAAGCCTATGCTATGGTGAGTAGTGAGGAGTGCAGGAGACAGATCTAGTCTATAGAGCCTCAAGTTGATCACTACGCTAATGCCAAGATAAAGTCGAAGGTCAATACTGGGAAGAAAGATATTGTATGTGATTATTGAAAGAAGCTGAAACATACTAAGGACACATGTTGGAAGCTGCATCCGAAGGTCATGCTCAATTGAGGGCTTGAAACCAAAAAAAAATAGAAGAGAAAAGAAAGAAGTTATCCCAATCCCCCAGGAAGTGAAATCGCAGCCTTGTTTTCTCTCTTTAATACTCTGATACCATGCTTTAATATTTCAGTCTATGTGTTGCAGTTGTAGGTTACAGAGAGAAGAAAGAAAGAAAGAGGGAGAGAAAGAGAAGAAGAGAGGAGAAAAATAATAATATAAACTAGAGAGAATCAATTCTCTCCCAGCCGACCTCAAGTTTGTATAGATATGCTAAGATTACAGAGACTACAATGCCCCTTTTTTAAGTGTGGAGAGATGTAACTTAAAGTAAGACAAAAGTGACAAAGCATAACTTATTAAAGAGATAAAAGACTAAATTAACCCTGTTTAGTTGACTCTAACAGGAAGCATTAGGGAAACAGGGTTTTTTATGGAGCTTAAACCAAAAAACTTTAGTAAAGGATGTTGTAAGTGGAGGCAGGTTTTGGTTGTCATGTAGAGCAGTGTCCTACATGAAAACTCATAGCTTAGGAGAAAGATGTAACAACCTTTTTTGGAGTCCAATGAATGAGTGAGGAGTAGGGAGAGAGAAATAGTTGACACTCTCAGTTTCCTTCTGGGTGATGCTGATATTGGATGTCCAGCTAAAGAAAATCTGCAATGAAGGAACCAATGTGCAGTTACACGTATCTATACTTGCCCTGGAGAGGAATTGGTATAGCCCTCACCCCTCTCTTCTTCTCCAATGTGTGGTTGATAACCTAGGGGTGTGCCAGAAAATTCATCCAACAGTTCAACTCGTGGAGATGGTGGAAGCTGAGAATCCCTGAGGGAAACCTCAAAAGATAGCCAGCCATCTCACCTGAAAGAAGTCTCAGATAGTAGGTTGTCTGGAACTCCAGATACAACGAAGAATGGAAGTGGATAGGGTGAATGATACATTCATGGAGGAGATGAATGCATAAAAACCATTTATGCAATACATGGTTTGAGAACACTGACAAAAACTTCTGTCTTGAAGTTCTAACATGTTCCCAAGGTTTACAGAAGGTTTCTATGTTGAAATCCTAATAACAGTACTACTGGGAGCATATTATAATGTTATATTAAAGAAAACATGTCCATTTGTGCACATTGCTAAGATATTTGGCCATTTAAAAGGACATATCAAGTATTGAACCCATGATCAATAACATTCTATTGTGTTGAAAAATGATGCTTTTAGAACCAAAATAAACAAGGTCATACCTCCTTTGCAGAAAGCAGGAAGAAAAACAAGGGGTCTACAAAAATCGCCACTAAGCAAGAAATGACAAAAAATTGATTCCATTGTTGAACAACTTTAGTATGGGGATTCATGACACCAGGTATATATGACTGTAAGAGAGTACAAAGCCTCCTAGCCCGACTTTTAGCATCGCCATAGAAAGCATTATGGAACTGCAAATTACCACAAGGCAAATTTCATAACTCTAAATTACCTCAATACCATAAATATAGATGTGAATCAATTGGGCAGTAAAAAGAGACAACTATTTACAATTTAAAAGAATGAAAATGAAAACAACAAGCAGCCTTTAACCTCTAGTAAACCATTACAGGAACAAATAGTTGGATCACATAAAGACTAAAAAATTAGAAACAATATATGCATTACAATGAATTAATACAATCAGTAATCACTTTTCAAGTGAATAGATAAGAAGAAAAATATGGGGAATTTCCAGTTTTTGCTTACAAGTTACAACAAAGGATTGGCCCAAAAGCTTTGCAAAAATTTTGTTCAGATGGGACCTTATGTCCACTGCCTACTAGGTCCTTTTTTGTATCCAACAACTTTTAAACATCCAATGGACTTCTCTATTGATGACTATTATATTTTTTATAGTTAAAGAAAGATATTTTTTTTCACAAAAATGGGTATTTGAAATTAAAGAACCTGGATTTATCTTATTAAATCAAGTTCAGTGTGAAGAATAAGAAAAGTAAGATATCATGAGAGAAGAAGAGATGAAAAGAAAGTTTGAAGAAAGGCCAAAAGTATGGGGCTATTGTCCCTCTTATTTACTCATATCTTTCAACAAATAATACAAGAAAATGATAAATATACCCCTAACCATCAAAAAATAAAATATAATAAGAAAGCAGCATCTAATGAAAAATAAACTGAAATAAACCACTCAAGACACCCTCTCAAGCAGGGAAAAGATGTCAAACATATCCAACTTGTCCAAATCAGCTTCTACTTTTAACTCCGCAAACTCCTTTATAAACACATCAGCCAAGTATACCTTAAAAGTAACAAAAGGAAGACATACTTCTCTTATAAATACCTCTCACAAATGAAGTGTCCACCCACTTCAATATACTTTGTCATATCATGATGTATGCAATTTTGAGCAATACTGATGGCACCTTGATTATCCTAGCATACCACCAATGGTACTCAAAAGTTAACTCCAAGCCCTCCTAAGAGAGAGTGCAGCCATAAAACCTCAGAAACACCAAGAGTCATGGCCCTATATTCAGCCACTAACTGGAATGACCTACAACTATCTACTTCTTGCACTTTTAAGATACTAGATTACAACCAATTAAAGCACAGTACTAATTAGTACAACATGTATTGTCATCGATAAAACCAGTGATAAAACTCAGACAAGATGTTGTATAAGTTCAGATCAAAAGAAAGAGGACAAGAAAAGAGAGAAGAAGGATAAGAAGGAGAAGAAGGAGAAGAAGAAGAAGGAGAAAAGGTCACAGCCGAAGTAGAGAGAAAAATTCAAATCCCTCTAGTCGGCCCTTCTGTTATTTATACTCTTCTAAGATATACAAGAACTACCATTGTGCCCTCACTTAAGTGAGAGCCACATCAGCTGAACAATACATATATAACTAAACATAAAAGGACTATACTACCCTTGTACAGCTGGCTCTAACACTCCCCCTCAAGCGGGTGAGTATATGTCATATAGTCCCAACTTGTTACATATGTAGTCCACTCTTCCCCGATTCAACCCTTTGTTAAAAAGATCTGCCCATTGATTTCTTTTGTTCACATATGTTGTACTTACCACTCCACTAAGCACCTCCTCATGTACAAAGTGGCAATCCACTTCTATATGCTTCATCCTTTCATGAAACACTGGATTAGAGGAGATATGAACTGCAGCTTGATTATCACAGTATAGCTTCATAGGAGTGTCAATCGAGTATTCCATCTCCTCTAGGAGATGCTTCAACCACACTAGTTCGCATGTTGTGTGTGCCATAGCCCTATGTTCAACCTCTGCACTGCTTCTTGCTACCACTGTTCGCTTCTTACTCTTCCATGTCACTAAGTTCCCACCAAGAAAAGTGCAATACTTGTTGGACAGTTATGCCCTTAGCTCCAATCAGATTGATGTATCTTTTGACATTTATTGTAAATGAATAAAGTACATAATTGATTCATGTCATTGTGGTGTGTTTCTGTGTAATACCCTTAAACTGGACACTTAATGAGACACGTGTTAGCTTAGAATCTTTACAGCCGTTGG